AAACTTATAATTAGAAATTATACACTGTTTGTCAGTGGTGTCTAAGTAATCTTAGAATGTACATGTAACTCTGAAAAAGTCACATTGGTACTTGCTGTTGGTAGGGTTTGAACCCAACAGTCTCATGCATGAGAAGCATGGGCGTCTAAAACCACCGGGTCACCACGGCATGGTATGCTGGTCTACTAAAAAGACCAAATAAACCAAGTAGACCTGACCTTCAAAATCTTCGCAGGGTCGTAATCTGGATTCTGGATGAATCTTTTGAGTTTTTTGATCATGTCTTCTGTAATTGATTCTTTGTCGAACTTTATAAGGGACTCAAGGAATGCCGTTGGGTCAGATAACATTAGTGAACCAGGTTTCCAGTAGTTTAGGACCTTTTCGCCAAACGATGCACCTGGCTCCTACAAAAGCATACAGTCATAACAGAAATTAGATTTTATATAAAAAGATCCGGCTTCAACCCTCTTTTTTTAAAGTCAGTTAATTAATATAATACATTAACTTTCTCCTAAATGTAATAAACACTTTTCTGGAAACCGCATCAAAGTCGGTTCAGCCCATCGCGAGATAATCGCGTACAAACATACATACAGGTCGAAGTGAAAACCTTCTCTTTTTCTTTTTGATTAAAATCAACAAAACTTGATAACAACAACCTATATTAAGTCTTATCGCTGACGGTATAAGTCACTATTTCCTACTTACCTTTATTGGTTTGATATCAAAGACAACACAAAGAGACTCGATGACCAGTACGACTCCCGCTGGTGGTTTCTTCATGGCTTTAACTTCCACTACATCATTACGATTTAACTCTTGAAGCGCTTTCTCAGCTGCACGCAGCGCTGGCATTGCTTCCTCTGCAATATAAATTATCCTGTTAGCAGAACGACGCAGTATAATACATTTCACCCCATCCTTAAAAAAAAATCCATACCCTTTCCAAGAGGTCGTAAGACCTGACTAAGGGACTACACATTTCATAGACATACATACATAACGCCTTTTATCCCCGAAGAGATTGGCAGAGGTGCACATTATGCCACTGTACAGTGTAACACCCACTTTTCACTATTTATGTTATGACTCCCATGTAATAGGGGGTGAGCCTATTGCCATATACCGGGCACAATTCCAGACTCCGTGCTACTACTGAGATTTTTATTAAAACCCAGTAATACTTTGCCCGACCCGGGAATCGAACCCGAGACCCCTTGCCCAGCAGTCGCACTTGCGACCACTCGGCCAACGAGGCAGTCGGGCAACGAGGCAGTACATTTCATAGAAACTCTAATAAACATAAACATGTACATTGTACCAGCTCATAATAGTTATCTATGACATACAACAGTGGAGCGCCCACGGCCGGCCGCCCCGGCCGCGAGACTAACTACACAAAGCGAAAGGAATGTGGATCGGCCGTGTATATCATCGCGCTCGCACGTAGGGAGCCCGGCACGTCATACCGACATTAGTAAAATGAATCTTAAATTTTTGTATGTACCTAGTATTTCGCAATATTTTTGTACAAACTCTATATATACCGTGATTTCAAATAAATGACACAGATCGTTATTCGCCTTCTTATTTACATCAACAGTACTCCGTAGGGCAAGTTGTTTAGCCGCGGGACTAAAACGAAATAGATGTCACGGTGTAATTAAGTGAAACAAGCGAATTTATTTCTACAAATAGGCTACAAGGCAGCACTTTTACACGTCAATTTTACTAAGCGAACGATGAGGTCGACATTTCCTAACTGACTACTCTGAGAAGAAATGCCGAAACAAACTCAGAGGTCTGTCTCTTTTAAAGTCCAGACAAATGTGTATAAAAGATTATGTGTGAGAACCGTGCAAGTTCTTTCTGTACTGGTCTTTTGAGGAAAGGTGAGGCTGACTGATTCGACGAACAACACCAACCTAAAGAACATTTGCGTGGGTCGCACAAATACTCAAACTGTCAGAATATGGGTAAATAGAAAAGAAATGGCGAGGCAAAATCTCGCACGGTAAGGTGTTCCAGCACACCAAGTAACTAACTAAAGTATTGAGGTGGTGAAAATGGTCACAAGACTAACCCAAATCTCTCTGTGCATCTTCTGAAATGGCTGCATTAATAGCAGCCAGTTTTTCCGCCATCACAGTCTCCTTCTCAACTTTCTCGCGAGCTTCTTCAGCGATCGCCTGATATTTTAAGTAAACTACTTATTATTTACATAACAAAATAGTTTATTAGAATAATTTCTTTAAACACAAAGCTGCACATTATGCCACTGTATAATGTAACACTCACTTTTCACTATTTATGTTACGAGTCCCATGTAATAGGGGGTGAGGCTATTGCCATATACCGGACACAATTCCAGACTTCGTGCTATTACTGATTTTTTTTAAAAATACCCTGTAATATTTTGACCGACCCGGAAATCGAACCCGAGACCCCTTACCCGGCAGTCGCACTTGCGACCACTCGGCTAATTTCTTTAAACATTGTGAAATTTTAAATTATGTAAACCCTAATGTTTTCAAATCGAAACTGCAGGAACTTAATGCAACTACGGTACGATACAAAGACATATTTTAGGAAAATCAACTCATTTTTAAAAATCCACAGTACTACTCACAGTATCAGTGGCGATCTGTTCGATGACCTGTCTGGTTTCCTCAGCCGCCTTCTCCATTAAGGGTTTCAGATCCGCCAACTCGATCTGAAGCTCCTTCACTTCTACTTCTGTTTGATTCAACTTGTGCAAACCTAAATTAAATTAACTTTATTATATAATTGCCGTTTTCTCTAAACCATCACTTAACTAAGAATTACTTACAGTACCAAGCCCTTACCTGTACTGTTCGGTGTTACTTATAGTTTGGTGACAGCCAAGATGTCACCAAGTGCCACCTCTAACTTAGCTTAGGGGTTCCTTAAATTTAAATCAAGCTA